AATTTGGTGATAGAAGGGGACTCCAAGGTAGTGGTGGGCTGGCTAAAAAACCCAAATTCAGTGCTTTGGGCTTACAGAAATGAAATGAAGAAATTCAAATAGATAACTTAATAGATGGAATACAATGGGTGGGGAGGGAGGCAAATGCTTCTGCTGATTCTCTAGCTAAATAAGGAATAACTAGGGATTAGTTGTACCAGGTCCACTTGTAACTTTATGATGTTTCTGTATTAATGAGTGAGGCTGCACCTCACGCTTCGTATTGGTATGCTGTTTATGTGAATTATTCGACATTGTCTATAATAATATAACATCATTGATGACTCAAAACATATTTCTTTTGCTGCAAGATGACTTGAAACATATTGGGAGCAATAGGAAACCTAACCTCAGCCAAAAACTAGCATTTACCTAATTGTGTTGATAACTTTAGACTTTATACCAACCATGCTTGTGGTTTACCACCATGGCATATTTAATCTACATCTCTAGCAAGGATAATGATCGTCACCTACTTGACATATTTGGTAGAAGAAAATGGCAATGTGTTAGCCCATCAAGGCTACTGTGCTTTCTTAATACATTAGAAATCAAACCATTGTTTTATTTAGCAACATGCAGTTTGTCATGAAAGTACCTCACGCCTCATATTGGTATCCTTGTAACACATTCTTAATTATTTGCTTCTAATGAAATCAATTGAATTTTTATCTATAAAAGGGGGGGGGGGTAAAATGGAAAGGAGTGAAATTTTATAAGTAGCTATAGAGGCTAAGATTCAAATTGAATGGAATATAGGTCATTTCTAAAGAGTGGAGGAACAAAAGCTTAACATATTCACTCAATCAAAGTACTAAATGAGAAGGAATCCCAAGGGTTGTTGAATGAACAAGATAGAGAACAGAGAAGGCAACTGAAAAAGGATATAGAAGGTGTGTTGCTAAAGGGAGAGATTTGTTGGAGGCAGAAGACACAACATCAGTGGATTATAGAAGGTGATGGGAATACTAGATTTTTCCATGATTTGGCAAATGAATGACAAAGAAAAAACTTTGTGGCCAAATTGGAATTAGAAGGGGAGATAGTTACTAACTAAGAGGAAATAGTTGGAACCTTTGTCAATCTTTTCAAATCTTTTTAGGGATGACCTTTTTATGGATTGGAGTGGCCTAGTCTGGGAGAAGAAAAGGCATGTTGGATGGAAAGAAGCTTTGAAGAAGAGGAGATTAAAAGGGCAATGTTTTTGATGGATAAATTTAAGGTATTGGGCCCAGATGGTTTTACAATGGCATTCTATCAAGATTGCTAGGAGATTTTGAATGATGATCTTTGTGAGTTGTTTAGAGAATTTGCAAATAACCACATAGTAAGCCCAAGAGTCTATGTTACCTTTTTGGCTTTAATTCCCAAGAAGGTTGATGCTTCTCACCCTAAGGATTGTACACCAATCAGCTTGGTGACTAGTATCTACAAAATTTTATCTAAAGTACTGTCCTTTAGGATCAAAGAAGTTCTACCTTCCTTGACCAACAAATCCCAAGGGGCCTTTGTACAAGGGAGACAAATTACAAACCAGATTCTGGTAGCTAATGAGTGCCTGGAGGACATGAGAAGATCTAAGAAGAAAGGTTTTGTTTGTAAACTAGATTTGGAAAAGGCCTATGATTTGGTGGATTGGTAATTCCTTATACAAGTTTTGAGAAATTGTTGGTTTGGAGAGAGGTGGTGCAAGTGGATTCATGGTTGTATTAGTTCTAGTCACTTCTCTACCTTAGTTAATAGAATGGTAAAGGATTTCTTTCCAGCATGTAGGGGTGTAAGGCAAGCGTTCCTCTTTCACCCTTCTTACCTTATTAGCGGATGTGCTCAGTCGAATGGTTCCAAGGTTGATAGGGAGAATATAGTAAGTGGGTGGAAAATAGGTAGGGATGGAGTGTTAATTACTTATCTTCAATTTGCAAATGATATATTAGTTTTCTATGAAGGGGGAAATCTTAAGAAGGTGAAGAATCTAAAGATTTTGTTGAAAAGATTTGAAAGGGTCTCCAATCTGAGAGTCAACCTTGAAAATTGTAATGTAGTAGGGGTAAATTTGGAAAATAGAGAGGTAGAGGCTATTGTGGGATGTTTAGAGTGCTCTATCTCTACTTGGCCTATGACCTACTTAGTACTTCCATTAGGCTATTGTGGGATGTTTAGAGTGCTCTAACCTACCAACTTATTTTCTATCTGTCTTTAGGTTTCCTTCTAGGGAAGCTAATAAACTAGAGAAGTTGATGAGGAACTTTCTCTAGGAACCAGGGGAAAGTAGGAAGGATCATTTGTTAAAGTGAGAGGTGGTGTGTAAAAGCAAAGAGGAGGGAGCTTTGGGAATAAGGAACATAATGCAAAAGAATACGATAGTATTGGGGAAGTGGTTATGGAGGTGGCCTCTAGAGAGAGTAAGAGATTGTGGCATGAAGCGGTAGTAAGTATTCATAGTCACTTAAGGACATTTCGCGCATTCCTGATGTTCTCACGTCGCAGAAACATGTTTGGTACAAGAAAAACAAAAAAACAAGGTGTTCTCGTGTGAGAACAACACCCAAAGAACACATTCTTTGGGAGTGAAAAATCGACGCTCCCAAAGAACGCGTTCCCAGGGAACGCGCGGTTCCCACGATGTTAACCCCTATTAACGAACACGTGCTAACGTCTCCCATGTGAGAGAAGGGGTATTTTGGGTAGGTCGCACTAAATGATAGAAAGAAGCCCTACCAAACATTTTCGTTCGACAGTGAACTCCAACTTGCCATTGCAAATCTCAAAGAAAGGAGGGACTCTCTTTTCTCCAACTAGATGGTGAGCAAACAGTAGAAAGCACCACATTTCCGGCTAGGAACGCGTCAATAGGTATGTTGTCTTGTCAACATACCTAGTTTTGTATCATGTGCTCTGTTTTAAACCCACCTTTTCTCTGACCAGATTCACATGAATTCGTTTTTGTTCCCACTGCAAAGATGAGTTTTAAACAATCTCTAACCGATGCGATCTGAAATCATTTTTCTTGTATTATTTTGTTTGCATTTGTTTTATGTTATGCCAAATGGGTGTGGTTTCTTCTCTAATCCCATTGATGGTTATATGTTATGCCAAATGGGTGGGGTTTCTTCTCTAATCCCATTGATGGTTATATGTTATGCCGAATGGGTGGGGTTTCTTCTCTAATTCCATTGTTGTGTTTTGTTATGTCATTTGTTATATGTTGAATATCATGAAAATTGTCCTTGTTATGTGTTATGAACCTTTGCAAAACTGATGTTAAGAAATAATTTCATTATCCAAACGCTATTTCTGTTCTTGTAGAACAAAAATTCATTCTCGAAGAACAATTTGCCAAACGTATCTGTTACTCTTGAAGATCAAGAAATAAAATTCTTGTTCTGGAACAGGAATTTTTAAAAGAACAAGAACAGGTGGGAACATTGCCAAACAGGGCCTTAGAGAACAAGTAACTTTGGCAACACCTTGGAAGGACCTCCATCGGTCTTTTTTCACTATATCTCAGTATAAAAAAGAGCCTATGTCAAAATTCTTTTCCCCTTGGAAACTCCTTTGGCATCAGTCTGGGACTTTTGAGTTCCATAGAGGTTTTAGGGATGAAGAGATTGAGAGTCCAACTATAACTAGTCTTTTGAGTCTTCTTGAAAAAGTTTGTTTGGGTCCCTCTGAGCTACACAAAAGAATTTGGACACCTTTGCTCTTGTGTTAGTTCTCTCATGCTTCCTTCTTCAAGGCCCTTTGTCATTTTGGGTCTTAGCAGTTTTCCCTTTTAAGGAGGTTTGGACTAGGCCTATTCCCCCTTTGGTCTTGGAATTCTATTGGGAAATGTTTTGTGGGAAAGTAAACACCCTGGATAATTACAAAAGAGAAGGCCTTATCTTCGTCTCTCACCTAATTGGTGTACTCTTTGTAGGTCTCATGGTGAGGGCTGTTTCCATTTACTAATTTCCTGTGTAGTTACTGCTGATTTGTGGGGTTGGCTCTTCTTGATCTTTGGGTGCAGGTGGAATAAGCCACAGATGTGAGCATGCTTTTTGATCCATCTACCTTTGCTTGGCACCAACGAAGAGGAAGAATAATGTGGAGGTGTGCAAGAGCAGCTTTGCTTTGGACAGTGTGGGAAGGAAGGAATGTTTAGGGTATTCCAAGTGGAGAGAAGCAAACAAGAATTGAAGGAGTGTGTATATTGTATAGGACTATCTTGTGGGCACAGGCAGTTATCTTTGGACTGATGAAATTCATCATTTATCTTTTAATGATCTTTGGGGGCACAGGCAGCGGTGGCAAGTAGTTATTCTCAGAGGAATAAGGTGTATATGAGTTAAGCACCCCTCCTGAAGGCTTTATGAAATTAAATTTTGATGGCAGCAATCAAGGTAACCCAGGTCCCTTTGGGATGGGAGGGGTTATAAGGGATGAAAGTAGTAATGTGGCTCTATTATACTCGGGCCCTTTAGATGTGGGGGACTCCACTAGGGCGGAATTACTAGCTCTGCCCTTCAAGGGCTACAGTTTGCAGTACAGCTAGGTGCAACAGCTACTAATAGAGGGTGGTTCCAAGGTGGTTGTAGGGTGGCTACAGAACCAGAGACTGGTTTGGTGCTTCAAGAATGAACTTAAAAAATTCAAGTGGCTAACAAGAAATATGTGCCCGAAACAATGGGTGGGGAGATCAGCTAACGCAATGGCTGATAGTTTAGCCAAGCAAGGGGCAAATAGGGAATAGTTATATTGGGCACATTTTTTATCTGTTTTCGGTTTTGACTGCTTGGAGAGATTGCAGCTCGTGCCTCTCCTTGAATACTTATAACTGTTTTCTCAACTTTCTAATAAAAAATTTTTTCTCATTTATCAAAAAAAATGTTCTTTTCTGATTTCATTCATCAACCTTGGGATGGAATTGATTGTAGAGAAGTAAAACTTACTTTTAACTTCCCCTGCTTCTCTTTGTGTAACAGGCTGTTATTGATGCCAACATCATCTTTCCTTTAGTTCAACTACTACAACACGCAGAGTTTGAAATCAAGAAGGAGGCTGCATGGGCTATTTCTAATGCTACCTCTGGAGGGTCCCATGAACAGATTCAGTATGTTTTTCTCTTGATCTTCCTTTTCTTTGACATTCCATAGCATTTCCTGATGCATGCACACAACCTAAAGTGAAATTCATGAAGATGCCACTTACCAATTATCTAACACTATCCTTTTCTTAATATTGTTTCTTATTGTTGGCCAGGAAGTAGGAAACTTTGGTAATGTCAAACGTTACTAAAATGTAATTTACACTAGTTTCTACTGAGGCAGCATGAGTCAGGTGCTGGTGCTGCTATTACGGTCATGCTATTGTTGATGTCTTTATGCTAGTCATAAGTTATATGTACTTAGATTATGAAAACCTCTTCCACTATTCCACTCTGTTAAGTGTGATATCCCTTGTTAAATTATTGGCCCTACAAATCATTTTTTACTACCCCAAGCCCTTTTTTCTCTCTCTCTCTCTCTTTTAGACCCTTTAACTTGTAACAGATCACTTCTCATTAGTGCTGTAAATGGTCTTCTCTGAATGTGATGAAACGGTCTTAATCTATTCTCCCTCATTTATAACCTATGGGGGGTACTCCTAAATTTCCTATTGAATTGATATATGTTCATTTCTGAACCTTTCTTTCCATTTGTCATTCATTCGTCTCAATGTTTATAATGTCTGCTAAGACCAATTTTTTTGGACATATTTCTGGAATGCCCAACACTTTGCTCCATATTAAATGACAGTTCTGTTGCAGATATTTGGTGAACCAAGGTTGTATCAAGCCACTTTGTGATCTTCTAGTTTGCCCAGATCCAAGGATTGTGACTGTGTGCCTTGAGGGCCTTGAGAACATTTTAAAGGTGGGTGAGGCTGACAAAGAGTTAGGAAAGACTGGTGGGGTGAATATCTATGCGCAGATGATTGACGAATGTGAGGGGCTAGATAAAATTGAGAATCTGCAGAACCATGACAACAATGAGATTTACGAGAAGTCGATGAAAATCTTGGAGAGATACTGGGTTGATGAAGAAGAGGAAGAACAGAATATTCAGGATGGAGAAATTGCTCAACAAGGCTTTGAATTTGGAACTAATCAGCCCAATGTTCCCTCCGGTGGATTCAAATTTGGGTGAAGCAGGCAGCTCGACAATATTCCCCCGGTTTTTTAGATTTAAGAGGGGAAAAATGTACTTGTTGGTTTCACTATTTTCCGGTTCCAAGAGTCGGGGTTTTTGGTCTGGCTCAAAGGTAATGATCATCTGAGGATTACCAATAGTGTAAGCATTTAGGGTTAGACAATGTGGTTCTCAATTTTATATGTAACTATTATTTTGGATTTTATTACAAAGTCGGTACCAAGATTTATGAGGGTAGCCCAATGGTCATTGTCTCGTTACCAACAAATTGTAACTTGTGTTCTTTGCTATTTGCTAGTTATTTGGAGTTTTAAGCATGATTGTACACAAGAAATGATGTGCTTCTCTGAGTTGGCCTTTTGGGATCTACCAAGAGGAAATTATCAGTGACCATGTAATTAGCCATTAGCGGTGGCTAACCACATCGGAGTGGATACTAAAATATAGAAGAATGCAAATCCAGATCCACGAGTTACCCTAACAATTGTGCTGTATTTTTTGCTCCATTCCATTTCTCTATAGTCTATGTACTGTGCTAGTAAAAAATTCACGTCAGCATTTGAGAGGCAGATGGGAATTTATGGTTGGCTTTCTCCTGTTCCACCTAGACTAGACTTTGATTATGACCTAACATGTAATAACTATGGAAACGGTAGCAAAGTGAGGAAGCCTCAAGCATAAACAAATTAAGACGGCAAGTATAATGCTAAGAAGTGGACAATACAATTAAATTGCCCACTAGTCTAAGAAGCATTATATTGAAAAGCATCAATAGAAAACGGCCCCTTTGTATTAGGCAATAATATCTCAGTGAACAATACTGACCACCTAATTGATCAGTATTGTTCACTGAGACGAGAGACATACGCCAAATGACTCTTAGCCCCCAACACATCTAATATATATATATATATATATATTTTTATATATATATATATATATATATATATATATATAAAATTAATAATTAAAGGAAGACTTTCAGGTTATAGTCCCTCACCATTCAGACATTTGGTTTTTTCAAATTTGGATATATGGCATTTTCTGAGAAGTTGTTAAAGCCCACAGTCCACTATTACTGTTCAGACACATGGCCTTCTCATTTTGCCGGAAAGTTAGACACGTGGCATTTTCTGAAAAGTTGTTGCTAAAGCTCACAACCCACTACCACCATTTTCAATCTATTCCTAAAAAATGCAGAAAATGTAAAAATGGTTATCCATAACCACTTCTGCTTATATTCTATCAATATTTAATCATTAACCCTCTAGGTACTATAACAAAATAAAACTATTCATATTCTAATAATTATTGAAAAGCTATTTTTTAAAATAAATATTTCTTGAAATTTTAATAATTATTTAAAATATTAATAAATATAAACTTAACAGTATTGATTCCACGGTGTAAATTTAACATCACTGATTCCCTATACTTAGTACAGGGTTATTCACTAGTATCCGCTGAGACCTAGCGGCAAAATTAAAATGCCACCGAAATCCCCCTTATTAGGCAAATCAACAAATGTGATTAACGTCTAAAACTCATTCAATTCCTTTGACAAAAATACCCATTTCATCATAGTCCTTTATGCGTTCCCATTATTAATTTGGGCCCCACCAAGGAGGCTTCTCGCTTGTCCTTTAAATAAAGCGTTATTTCTGCATAATATCACTACACTTTTCCTCTTCAACGTGTTTCAACAAAATTGACTTATTTTTTATGAACAAATTGATCAAGTTGTCTTGGTGATCTTACCCATTTGAGAGATAACCAACAATACACCCTTTTGATATTAGCTACTAAAATAAGAAAATTCAAATTTTCATAATACCGGTTCCATAAGAAAGCATTACCGGGCATTTAAGAATCGGCTACTACACGTAGGCTTGTAATCGGATTGGATTAAGAAAAATCCAAATTTGATCTAATTACTGAAAAATTAACATCCAAGTCTAATCCTAAATTCAATTGGATTTAAAAGACTTCAGATTCGAATTCCGAATGGTTTTGGCTCGGATTTGGATTTAATCCGACTTCACTTTAATCTTTTAAAATACAAAAAATTAAAAAGTTAATTACTTTCAACTTTTGTATATAATAAATTAATATAAGTGTAACATACTGACTTTATTATTATATAAATTCATATATAATATAATGTATAAAATATATATTTTTATAATTTGAATATAATTATATAAATTTATTTATTAAAATCAATAAATATTATAACATAATCGGATTCAGATTTTAATAGGATTGGATGGTCAAACCCAAATCTAATGTGATTATTAATTTGATGCAGATTTCAAAATCCGAATATGATTATATAAATACACCATCTGAATCTGAGATAATCGGATCGGATGTTGGAGTGGGCCTCGAATTTTCAGGCATCATTGATAGGCCTAACTACATGTGATTAGTATTCATAAGACCAATTCCATGCTAAAGCATTATCGAGAGCTTGTTGTTCACAACACTACGTATACTTCATCTTCTAAAAACAATTAGTAAATTTTTATGCGTTACTATAATTAAGGTAAAGGTGTCAATGGTATTCGAAAATCCGAGTTTGAATTTGAGATTTAACATAATCAAATTGAATTCAAAAACTCAAATATCATAACTGGTCAAATTCAGATATCCTATACATACCATTTAAGTAATTGAATCAAGTCCAGATATGACTTGATTCATTTTGATAAATATCCAAATTTGATTGATTATTTAATTCTTATTTATAATATATGAAATATTTAAACATTTTATATAATTTATATATTTATCAAGGTGCTCATCTAATGGCTAGAACCCCCATAACAATCATTAATAGTTCAAATTATAAAATCACAATTTTCCCTGCCACAACCCTCTTTGGCAATTAGAAGTGTTGGGACAAATTGTGTTGTCCGTTGTGCTAATTTCACATCCATAGGTAAAAGATGGTGTCATTCTAAGTGCCAAAATGCCTATAACGGTCCTTAATTGTTAAAATTGTAAAATCATTGTTTTGGCTAGTCTGACCCTATTTTACGATTTCATGTCATGGAACCAACTACACCATCTGTTATACTAGTTTCCACATTTGTATGTAAAAGATGGTTCCCATCTGGCCAACATAACCTCTATAACAGTCTTTAACGGTTGAAACTATAAAACCTCATTTGATGTCGACTTGACCTTATTTGGCATGTCCAGGTATTGGGATCAATTATGGCATATGTTATGCGGTTTTCTACATCTACTTGTAAAAGATGGTGCCAATCCAACCACTGAAACCTCCATATGATTCCTTAACAATTGAAACTATGAGATCACATTTTTGACTGGCTCGACCATGTTTGAGGATTCTAGGTGCTGGACCGGACAAACTATATTATCCATTAATTGGGTTTCAACGTCCATTCATTGAGAAAGGTCCATATCTAATTGTTGGAACCCCATAATAGTTTTTAATGGTTGAAACTGTAAAATCTCAATTTTGTTTGGCTTAACCTTGTTTGGCAGTTTTAGGTGCTACGACAAACTACATTATTTATCGTATGGGTTTCTAGATTTACACGTAAAAGATGGTCCCCATCCAATTGGTAGAACCCCCTAAAACCACGCTTAATAGTTGAAATAGTGAAATCACAATTTTGGCCAACTTGATTATTTTTTGGTTTCAGGTGTAGGGACCAACTGCGTTATCCATTGTGTTGGTTTTCACATCCACAAGTAAAAGATGGAAGATGGTGCTCATCCAGAAGATAAAACCCCTGTAATGGTCCTTAACAATTGAAATTGTGAAATCACAGTTTTGGCTATTATGACCTTGTTTTATACTTGTAGGTGTTAAAACCAGCTGTGCCAACTATTATACTGATTTTCACATCTATAGGTAAAAGCCAATGCCCATTTTGAAGCATAACACCCATAACAATCCTTAATGGCTGAAATTTTGAAATCAAAATTTTGGCCAAATCAAGCCTAATTGGCATGTCCAGGTATTGACACATGCTATGTCGGGTTTCTACATCTATCTATGTGTAAAAGATGGTGCCCATTTGACCACCATAACCCCATAATTGTCCTCAATAGTAGAAACTATGAAATCACATTTTTTATTAGCCCAACTATGTCTGAAGGATCCAAGTGCCTAGAAAAATTACGTCATCCATCAAATGAGTTTCCACATTTATTCAAAGAAGGTCTCCATCTAATTATCGGTACCCCCATAACATTATTTAACGATTGAAATTGCAAAATTACAATTTTGGGCATTCCAACCTTGTCTAGTAGTTCTAGGTGCTTGGAAAAAATGTGTCATCTATCATATGAGTTTCTAATTGGTTGACAAGGGTAGGTTGGCCAAAATTGAGATTTTGCAATTTTGATCGTTAAAGACTACTATGAGGCTTTTGATTATTAGATGAGGACCTCCTTCTATGAATGTATGTAGAAACTTATTTATTAGATGAGATAGTTTGTTTAGGCACCTAGAACTTTCAAATTTGGTTGGGCCAGTAAAAATGTGATTTTGTAGTTTCTACTATTAAGGATTGTTATGGGGTTTCGATTGTCAAATGGGCACCATCCTTTATGTGTAGATGTGGAATCCTGTATAATAGATGGTAGAATTTGTTCCATCACTTGGGCATGCCAAATAGGGTTAAGTCAGATAAAATTGTGATTTTACAATTTCAACCGTTAAGGATTATTAAGGGTGTGTCATTATGGCCGGATAGGCATTGTCTATTACCTACAAAAATAATAGATGGTGCAATTGGTTCTAGTACCTGGAATCATGAAGCTAGGTCGCACTAGCTAAAACCATTATTTTACAATTTCAATTGTTAAGGACTGTTATGGGGGTCTTGGTGCCTAGATGGGCATCATCTTCTACCTATGGATGCGGAAATTAGCCAAAACTATGATTTCACACTTTCAATTGTTACGCATCGTTATGGGGTTCTCGCAATTAGATGGACTCCATCTTTTATAGGTGAATCTAGAGACTTATGATAGATGGCACAGTTTGTCCAAGCACATAGAATTGCTAGATAGGGTTGAGCTAGTCAAAATTGTGATTTTACAATTTTGACAATTAAAGACTATTATGGGGGTTCTGATGATTATTAGATGGGGACCTTCTTCTTTGACGCCCATTTAATAGATGATGTAGTTTGTTTGGGTACCTAAAACCTTCTGACATGGTTGGGCTAGTAAAAAAATGTGATTTAATAGTTTTGACTGTTAAGTATTGTTATGGGGTTCTGGTGGTTGAATGAACACCATTTTTTACATATAGATGTGGAAACTCGTATAAATGATGTCAGAGTATGTGTC